TATAGTGAATCAACGTAAAACGCCAAAACGAAATTAATAGTCCTTCGGTGAAAAGCAAATTGTCCCTTTGGTCTAATAATAGTTACTTAATTATTCACATGCTGTCTACAAAGTATCCAAGTACTTGCAAAATTTTGATTTGGCCTCTTAAATGGAACGTAATATTTAAATTATTCTACAGCTTGCCCCTTTTCGAATCGATATTCGAACTGAAAACTGATTGAATACCCTACAGAAATACAAGAATTGTGAAAAAAAGAAACCTTCATTTCTTCACAATTTTATCTTATACATAAAAAGTCAGCTGCCTTTACACAAGGATCAGCGAAATGGATAACAAAAGACAAGAATAACAAACTCTATTGAGCTTACGCTCTTTTCACGATAACTGAATGAAGCAAGATTATATATCGAGAACCCAAAAGTTATAATATTTAGTTTAAAGTCTAAAAAATTTAAAAAATACCTAAAAATAAATTTAATTTAATGCCATTTTGTGAATTTTGTTACCGAAAACCTACACTAAAATTTTAAATAAATCATAAAAATTAATAATAAAATTATATCTTAGCAAAACCGACCTAACAAAGTTAACACTGTTAATTAAACAAAACTATTAACATCAGTACAAACTATTTACTAGCACAAAATATTGGAATTACCAATTAATAAATTTTGTTGCTGCAATTAACGTTTATTCGGATGCTTTTATTCTTCTTTTTAACGTAACATTAAGTTACAATTATATATAATTAATATGCTGAATACGAAAACGCATAAAATCTTTTACAAATTTTATAGCATTTAATTTTATTTTAAACTTGTAATCATTTTCTACTCAAATGCACAGTTAGTTTCTGTATCGTAGCTGATTAGCGTGAAATACATACATCTGTATCATATAGTGATGAAACGTATATACGTACACATACATACGTACGCACTTATATACGCATACATACACGCATTTCTGAATCCGGTCTCGATGACAGAAGTGTACCATTCAAGCTTTTAATTAGTAAAATTTCCAAATGGAGAGTATAGGTTTATTTAGCGTTTTCATCCTCATTATTCATTCTTTTCCCACTGTCATGGCTTGTCTCTTTAGTTCATTATTACAAAGGACACGCAGAGGAAAAAACCTGAGAGGAAAGAAGTTATCATGGCGAGCTTTTTATGAGACTACTATGAAGGCATATATTTCCCTAGATGTTCTGCTTAGATATACTTTTATTTGTCATTGGGCTAACCATTAGGAAAAGACATAAAACATAATTAAGGCGATTGCAAAGTCCACAAATCGATTTGATACAGCAACTGGAATTAAATCCAAAGCACCTTTTCAAAATTTTCATTTCAATGTTCATTTACTTCATACTTTTATTTCATTTAATAATTCTTTAAAACATTCGATACACCTTTTAATGTTTTAACATGAAGGTTAACTACCAAATGTACTGACCGGCCCTGAATCGAACTAGTCGGCACACAGTTCTGTCAGACTTGATATAAATATTGAAATTATGTTAAAAATGTAATTTGTACACATATATTTTAAAACCTTGTAGTTTATTAAAGATTTGGTAAGTCCAAAATTCTGAATACTACGACTTTAAAAATAAAGAAATGGCAGAAATAACAGAAATGCCTGCATTTAAAAAAAAATGATAATAAATACATTTTAAATGTAAATATGTCGTTAATTTACTGGCAGTTTCTCCAAAACTGTATAAAACGTCTTGTTAATTCATTAGCAAGTGAAATTTCTAGAATTAACATTTTTAATTCGACCTGGATTTTACAAGGAGACATAGTGCACTTTTTTTTTTTATTCTACTAAATTTACTTATTATTATTACCATATTTATTCTTTTAAATGTAAGGAGGTAATAATAATGGCTTTGATTTGGATATCGAAAGTAATTGTGAAAATAAAAATATTCTTACCTATTAATCAAATTTGAATTTAGAAATGTACTAGGACGTTGCCTGAGAATATTTGACTGCTAATGGCATCTTTCGTTATAAATCCGAGTTTTCAATGCACAGATATTTTTTCAGAACAATAAAATTCTATTACAGATTTTTTTAAAAGCGCATTTTTGAATATTGTCAGATTCCTCATCTGTCTAAAAAATTTAGAATATGAAACTTACAGATTATAGAACAATAACATTCCAAAGAAAAGTTTTACTTTAAATTTTTTAAATATACAATAAATTTTAAACTATAGAAAACAAATATTTTACTTATTTAAAAATATTTAAATATTTACTTTAAAAACTTGCATGTTCCACTTTCCAGTTCTTAAAGAAAAATTTTACTGTTGAATAACATTAAAATTCAACTAAAAAAAAAAGTCTGCAAGTTTTTCAAATTTTAACGGTCACCCAAAACGTTAAGTTTTTTTTTTCTTTCTTTTTTAAAGCTTTATTAATAAACATCGTTTCCTTTGCATTTACGTCACATACAGTTCAACAGCAAAGTCACAAAATTTTTAAATGCTGCGCAGTAGCAAAAGTTTGGCATTCTCGATTCAGTGTTAAGAGTTGGTACACATTTTTATATTTTTTCAGTCATTTCTCAATTTGCGATATAAATATTCAGTTTTCTAAGTAAGATGGATAACAAGAATTTTTTTTGGACTTTTTAGTTTTAATTTTTATATGTTAATTATATTCATACATAGTAGGCTCTTAGCCCTTAAACGCCACATAAAATTCAATTCAACAGCATAACTAATCATCAAAATATTTAAAAAACGCATATATTTAGATTTCTTAATAAAGTTTTACGGGTTGTCATATATATTTTTACATTCGTTATATTATTTCTTTATAAACTAGCCGCCTAAACTAGTTATCATTAAAAAAAGAAAATATATAATGATTTTAATGAGTTCAGCTAGTATAATTTCACAAAAATATAGAGCATTTCTAATTAGACAGAGATCTCATAATTTTAATGCATGTTTAGTTAAATCAATCACATTAAAAAGTAGAAAAAAAATATTCTTAATAGCTGCGTTTAGTGTTTTTAAATGCTTAGTTTATTACTCAATAAACTAAGATTTTAAGAGTTTTTTAGATTAAATTATAAAGTATCTTGGGCTTTACTGAATAGGAACAACCTGACGCGCTGACGAAGATAAAAATACCTTACTTCCGACCGCTGCGGCAGCACATTGCTTTCATAGAGTTTGTTTGTTAAAAATGAAAGTTAAAACTTATAAATATCTTTCATTTTTCCGAATGGCAACTATCTCGCGCACTGGAGGAAAAAAATTCTTTATTTTGAACAGAGTTGCCAATGCTAGCTTTCCTATTGTTGATTTTGTAAATAAAAAATTCATTAGAATTTTTATGAAATAAATAATACAGCAAATTCAAAATTCATGTTTACAGGCGCCCCAGTTCGGGTGGAGGACTACGTTATTCAAAATTTGATGGCTCTAGGTGCTGTCATTTTATTTACAATGCGAGGAACATACATACACATGTATACACACAGACAGTGAACCGACGCAAAATCCCATATCCAGACTAACAGCCCCTTTTGAGCTTAAAAAATAAATAAATAAATAAAGTAATGGTGCTTATTTCACAGTTTTTTTTTAAATTATAAAATTTATTTTTTTATTCAGTGTTCATACATTATTTATTTTTTTAAATCATTGAAATAAAAACGAAAATTTTCAAAATATTAAACAGTAGATTACCTTTTGGAGAAAATTAAAATGTTTTGGTTTGGTTTGCTGAGATTACGGTGAAGCACACTAGGGGAGGGATGCCTTCCAGGAGGCCTTTCTAAACAAAACTGCCTCGTACACATGTTACACATGGGGGAAAACCACGAAAAAAAAACCCACGCAGTCAGCCTGTTCATGGGATTCGACCTCGGAGCGAACTACCTGTGTTCAGCGACTTCACTACTCGGCCGTCGGTGGACCAAAATTAAAAGGAGATATAAACAAAGATGCCTGGAATTTACACATTAACTATAAAACTTCATCATAACATCAAATTTTATTTTTAATTCAGGCGATAGTGTACACGAGAAACAGGAATTTTATAATCTAGAATGTTCTCCTATTAGAATGTGTTAAAAACCTATTTCATTTACGATGGCATTAAAAATACAATCTGTGAATAAAATATTGTCAAAAAGTCTAGAAGAGAGGACTTTTTAAATGCTTTATTTAATGGAGTATTAAGTAATAAATTTTTATAACATTGAAAATAAACGTAATATCTCTTTCTGGTAATAAACACAGTCCGTTTGAGTCATACGTGATTTCATTAGAATTAAAAATAATATCTCTTTCATGTACTAAAGAAAGAAGTAAAAAGAAAAATATCTTATCTCGCCAAAAACCCATTCTTTAACCATGTTAAAATTTCGTAAATACAATCCCTGTGAAAACAGAACTGGGTGTACTTAATTCAACTTCTATTGTACCGAATACTTAACTCGTTTTGTTCTCATGCCTGAAGACGAAAATAATTGATGACTATATCAACACAGAAAATTTGATAATCTTTTTAGAGACATTAAGCAGGATACAACTAATCACAACACGATACAACATCTGCTACTAATTGTGACTTCTTCATTTAGGAAAGTTATTTAAAGGACTAAAAGAACTAAAAAATGAGAACTCCCGAGTCGTATCTTCACGCCGATCTTCCACTTCCCTCCCCTAGTTTGGGAAAGAAACTAACTAAACGTTGCACGCAATGAAAGGCTGAAAAGGAAACATGAAAAACCAACCCTAGTGCAAAAAGAAGCAGCTATCATCACTCACCTGTGTCTTTCTCGCTAAGTCAATTTTCGGCTGCGGACGCCACTCGGCTCCACCCCCTTTTACGAGTGGGGTTTGGCTTTACTGTTCGCACTTGTCTCATTAGAAAGCACCGACGTGACAACCTTATCCTCCTTTTTTATTTCGCTTCTCCTTTCAATACCCTGCACTCTTTCTTTCACGATACAATATAAAAGGTCGTGAACCCTGACGTTACCCACGAACCAATGGCAGGATCACGCGAGCACAGGTAATGCGTTTCCAGGCGAAAAACGATCGACGACCCGCGGTTGGATGCCGAATCGAGCGATGGGCGGCAACCACCGCAAGGCGCATGCCGACGGTGGTCGCGTTAAAAGGTCCCGCCCCCCTCACGGCGTCGCGTTCGGTAAGATCCCTCCGACGGAGCAGCTGTAGTAGCTGGCGAGATCGGACTGCCACTTCGTCGCTCAGTGTTTTTATCAGACATTGCGGCTTTATTGCGATCTCCGATACATAATACAAATTGACGGAATCGCAGAAAATGCTGGTACCATCAGACATGTTAGCCGCTCAGTCCAAACTGCTTTATCAGTTGAATAAATTCTACGGCGAACGGGTTCAGGTTCGGAAGGCGGCGATAGCTAAGACTGTCCGCGAAGTGTGCAAAGTTGTCCAAGATGTACTAAAAGAAGTGGAAGTGCAGGAGCCACGATTTATCTCTTCACTTAACGATTGCAATGGACGTTATGATGGTTTCGACGTCATATCACCTACGGAGTTCGAGGTCGTGCTTTACCTAAATCAGATGGGAGTTTTCAACTTCGTGGACGATGGGTCACTACCTGGATGTGCTGTTCTGAAACTCAGCGATGGCCGCAAACGCTCTATGTCTCTCTGGGTGGAATTCATAACCGCTTCCGGCTATTTATCAGCTAGGAAAATCCGTTCCCGTTTCCAAACTCTGGTAGCTCAGGCATGCGATAAATGCAGTTACCGAGACATCGTGAAGATGGTTGCTGATACAACAGAAGTCAAACTGCGCATTCGCGAACGATTTGTGGTTCAGATAACACCGGCTTTCCGCTGCAGTGGACTCTGGCCGAGATCAGCTGCTCACTGGCCTATACCTCATATTCCTTGGCCTAATCCAAACCTGGTGGCAGAAGTTAAAACAGAAGGCTTTGATCTTCTCTCGAAGGAATGTGTTACTCTGCAAGGAAAGCAGTCTTCCATGGAAGGAGATGCCTGGGTCTTGAACTTCGGAGAAGCTGAGAATCGCCTTCTTCAAGGTGGATGCCGCAGCAAATGCCTCAGTATTTTGAAAACGATGAGAGATCGCCACCTGGATCTTCCAGGAAACCCGGTATCCAGTTATCATATGAAAACTCTGGTCTTGTACGAATGTGAAAAGCATCCGCGTGAATTAGAATGGGATGAGACGTGTCTAGGGGACCGACTTAATGGCATACTGTTGCAATTAATATCCTGTCTGCAGTGTCGCAGGTGTCCGCATTACTTCTTGCCACAATTAGATCTTTTCAAAGGGAAGTCCGTCAGCTCGTTGGAAAATGCTGCTAAGCAGTGCTGGAGATTGACACGAGAACTACTCACGAATCCAAGATCACTAGAAAAACTGTGAATCACTAAGAGAAAAAAACTTTGCTTCTTATACCATCGAATTTGTTTAATCTAGCTCCACCAGGACGGCATTACAACGATTACTTCATTTCACGGAGTGCAAATTAAATCCGAAATAGTGTTGAAACCCATTTGAAATGAACACAAATGACTTTCATACATATATATAACAATATAAATGCATCACGTACTTATTATTTAAAAAATAAGGTTTTTCAGGTTTAGAAAGACGAATTTTCATCTGCGAGCATGAAAAATTTTGTGTTAAGACCAAACTGGCTTTCTAGTGAATACTTAATTAGATGTAGAGAAAGAAACTAAACTGTGTGCTATCTAAATAATCGAAACAACGATAGATGTGGTATGTACTGTTTTTGTTCCACAAAAAATTTTGTTTAGTGAGCTAGTAAACTCCATTAAAACTGAACTTCACGAGAACATTTCGCTCTGAACATTTAATTAAATTGCAAAACAATAAACTTGTGTTATGAATATTATGAAGTGAACTGTGATCGTGCTCTTCGATTAGAGATTGTTTGTGTAGAATACTAAGTGTACAGTTTGTTTGCATTTGTACAGAAATACTGACAGGTAGATATACAGCTTCTATTGTTTTTTGCCCTTAAATCTAATAGCTGATTCCTTTTAAAGCAAAATGATGGCTATTTGTATGCTAGGGTATTATTAAATTTTGAAGTAATATAAACTGTAATGTAGCAATTACTTTTTTAATACTTGTTATTTCTCCGAATATTACTATCTTGCAATTGTCTCCAAAAGAGAAATTATGCAGGGAAAGAATTCTTCGTTAATCTATTCTACTTTTCTAGTAAGTTTATACTATACCATTAGAATAATTCTATGAATTAATTACATTCCAACGACTTGGGAAAAAATAAAGGAAATAAAAAGTATTAATAGCATAAAATATATTATATGATTACCACAGAAATCTAACTGCCGTTTTTTAAAATATATTGTCATGTAATAGATATTAATTATATAAACAGTACTTAATTTCATGTATAATCAGTCGTTTTACGGCTTAATATATGTTACAAGTAGTTAATATTATAATTTTATCTAACACATTCCATTCAAAGTGTTAGAAAATTTGTAACATCGATTTATTTGAATGAGAAAAGATAACTTCTAACTATGAAAATATTCTTTAATATTAATTAGTATCCAGACGATATAAGCAATGGATAATATTATTCAGTATATGAAATATAATGATTAATTAATTCAATCTACATGAAAATATAGGTTAATGAAATTTTTTTAAGTATTCAATCTCTCTCAAGATTAATATCATTAACACAACAATGACAAATGGTAATGATTTTAATCTTTAGAAACCAAAAGGCTTATTTAAATGTACTTTATCTTACTTTTATCCTTTTATTTACGTATTTAACGAACAATGTATGCCCTTGATGTTTTAAAATGATGACTTCAAAACTCATTAACGACGCTTAGATGATGAATATAATTAAGGAAATCACACACTTCAAAATGATATATTTCAAAAACCAAAGCCTGACTGCATATTAACTAAGGAAATGTTGAGTCTGAAACTGTAATGGCAGAGTCATTATATCATCAGAGTAACATTCAATTTCCAAATTACGTACGTATAATTAATCATGATGACATCACTTTTCTAACATGCTACTGGAAGAATTTTTGAAATATGAGATGGTCTCACTTGTAATATAGATTTCAATTTGCCAAAACCAGAGAAAAGGAATGAAAACGATAGTCGAGTGATAAATATTTTTAAAAGCGTGTTTTCAACAAGAAGTACTCCCAATTTTTTAACGAGCTCATTTTAAAATGGGTCTTAGATATATGAAAAAATATAAATAATTTATTTCGTTTAAGGATAGAAGAAGAAATGCTAAAATCATCTTTGACATCATGCCAAATCGACAATTTTTAATGCAATCTGGCATTTTAAATATCAGAGGTAGGCTTCAAACCATTCTTAATCAGGTGGATGAAAGAAACGTCTAGTGAATTGTGAATTTTTGGCAAAGTTCAATCTTAAATCAACACAGATTTCATAGAAAAACTAAGTACTTCCAACAAAAAGGGATCCACTTCTACAAAATGCAGGCTCACCTGCGGCCGAGCGGCAAAACTGCTGAACACAGAGTTCTGACCAGGGTTCGAATCCAAGCGAACGGAGTGGCTGCATAAGTGCTTTCTTAGTTTTCCCCATGTGTAACGTGCATACGATTCAGTTTCTCTTAGAAAGTCCTCCACGAAGGCATCTCTTCCCTTAGGCATAGTCTAGTGTGCTATGCCATAATAAACACCCCTTTCCAAAAAGTAGTCTACAAAATGTAAAATATTCCTCAAGGTGAAAATATATTCAATAATTTTACTTAAGAAATCTAAGTTTTCTACTTCTATTTTTCTATTAAGTTTTTATCTTTCTAATCTAAGTTTTCTCTTGTTCGCCAATATAAGACTAAATTAGCAGAAGTGTACTTAACACTGCTTACCAACCCCCCCTCCCTCTTAAAATTTGGAAGAGAGAAAAATGTTTTCGAAATTTTATGTATTGCAAAGCACTTTTACTTTAGTGTTCCAACTTATATAAGCACTGTTAAAAATCTTCAGAACTCGGGATTTTCATCCAGTTTTACTGGCTTTCCTGGCAGGAATTTTCGTTTACCAAATTATTTTAGTTCTATACATAATTTTAGTACATAACACAAGATAGCTCAAAGGTTACAGACAAAATAAAAAAAAAGTTTCAGAAGATTTATTGTCGTCAAAAGTTTATCACATCCACATATTCGATAACTTCAGAATAGAACACCAATAAAATTCTAATAAAATTTTGGTTTGCATGGGTTACGCTTCATGCATCATAACATGCTTTATATACAGACAAGAATCCTATAAAAAAATTTTATTTACCACCCTGCAATAATAAGCTTTTTGCAGAAGAATTTAAACAACTATTTCAGTCTTATATAAATATGAGGCTTCACTTGAAATCTTAACTTGAACTATTCTATATTTTTCAATTGTCTAAAAAAATATGATAGCAGATTTTTATGTTTGGAATGACAACAGACTTCGATATCGGGCGGATTTTAATTTTCATATGATAATCTATTTAGGTTATTGAAAGATTTCTTGAGCAGAATGTAGTTGTAAATTTGATGCACATTTACATTTCCAAAGCAAACTAAAAATCTTAATATATATATATTTTCATTTAAAAGTAAACACGAATAATATAATCTTAGAAGCGGAAAATAAACTCACGCATCAGTAAATTTTTAAAATAATGTAAAATGAATAAATTTTGTACGCGACATGAGATTTCACATTTGTTTAGTGTAGTTTCATAAGATGATGATAGCAGAGATTTTATTCCTTAGTACAGTATTTAAAAATTTCAGGCATTTATTCGGAAATTATTTCCAGTTCATAATTTTTACAGTGCCAAAATTAGAAACAATTAAGCATTTTCTTTTCAAAACACTGACATTAATTGTTAAGAACACGCAGTTTTCCTTTAATGCATTATAGCATGAAGCAAAATAACAGAAAAATGAAAAAGTAAAATTTTCACTCGCAAAACGAAAAGTTAATATTAGCTAAAACTTTAGTTGATTCTTTTATAATATCACAAGCAAACTATGCTAAATAAATTAATAATAAGCAACATGAATCGGCATTACATTCTTATACGCAAATTATATTGGAAGTAAAACCTAATTTTATCTAAGAGGCATCGAACTTTAACTATAATTTACGTACGAATTCTCAAGAGTGCATATGATTTTCTCGAACACATAAAAACATATGTACAATAAATACTATTTAGGTATTAATTTTTATTAAAAATTGAATTATTATACTATTATCATTTATTATTCTTCATAAATAAATATTTTAATCAAACCAATGATTAAATGTTATAACAGAAAAAATGTCTATAGACAAAAGGAAATGGGAAATGAATAAGGTTAGCAATCTGCAACTTGGTTGCAAAATACTCAACAAATGTATAATTTTTTTTTAATAAAAAATTTCCTAATTTACCTAAATACATTTCATTTACAGCTACGCAGCAGAAGGAAAAACAATAGCGAATTATGATGATGATGATGATGATATTTTTCAATTCTCATGAACTGAAAGGATAAAACAATTGAAATGAAAGCTGATTTGACTTTAAAAGCACTAAAATGGAGGGGGGGGGGAAGAAACCTTCACAAACTACTACATCTTTGTATACATTTATTTTTATATCTTTTAAGCACGAATAAAACTTTCTGCACTTTTTTTTAATAAAATAGATTCACGTATTTTAAATTTGTATCTAATATTTTGAATAAAACAGTTATCTTTCTATACACCGATTTTAAACTAACTTTCATCAAGAAAATAGTGAACTGGTTAATTAATTAAAATAAAGCAAACGAGGGCTAGTTTGCCTTATAAAGGATGCCATGTCGTGTGGAGAACTTTCTAACGTAAACTAGTTCGCTTCTATGTTTCAACAGAAACAAAATATCGTCAAATTCTAATCAGGCCAAAACTTTGGACATGTAACGACAACTGGACTACCAGCATTTAGCTAGCGGCCTTTTTCATTCTTATTACTTAATAAAGAAATAAAGAAAGACATAAATAAAGAAAAGGCAATACAGAGGCAATACATTTTTGACGATTTTCATTGTAATCACAGAAATATTTTACCTAAAATGTTTTAAATGTTCTATTTGATAACTCTTATTCTCCATCACCTTTCTACAGCGTAATTTACAAGACAATAAAAGTCTTTTGTGGTACTGGAAGAGATATTTTATCCCACAGCTCTCGAACAACGTTCCAAAGTCTAAAGAGGTTCTAGGTCGACGTTTGGACATCCCGCTTTTTAAAAGTTCCAAAACGCAGAAACACATTGGTTATTGATCAGGAGATTTAGTAGGGATATAAAGTGAAGGAGGGTATGGGCCTTGATACCCGTTTCCTTGTTTCATTTCTTCCATTTATTTAACAGTAGATTTTGACAGTTATTTAAAAGTAGATTTTGACGTATCGCTGCTTGCTTTGTCTTGATGCAGCTCTACTGGTTGATCACAGAATCAGTAGATGCAGCTTTACTGATTGATGTGTGTAAAGAGAAGGTATTTCATATTTGAAAACTGGGTATAAAATATGTTTTTGATAACATGTGAAAGTTGATCTTAACATTTTCTCCACTTTCTTTATGTTTAATTTGTCGTTATAGGAAAAATCAGCGACAATTATAAATCCCTTAGAAAAACTTTCTTTAGATTCCTTAAACCATGTTTTAAGATTTGTTTTAAGTGGTAAGATTTATAATAAATGGACCTCTTTATTGCAGTCAATTGTACACCCAAGAATCGTCTATCATGACAACATTTTTCCATTTTTGTCCGGATAAATGCTTCTCGTAAAGAATTCTGCAGGGCGTTTTGCGTTCTCGTTCGTGCAGAAACGCGAAGCACATTATGTTTTTTCGGCTTTTTGAGATTCAAATCAGCTTAATCACTTCGCTCACAGATGACACTGAGCATTTTTTAATGATTTTGCGAGTGTACTTGACGGATTTTCTTTTAACATTAAAGGTCTTACCTTTATAACACTCGAAAAATTCCCTTTCCCCCCCTTGGATACGTATTTGGAACAATTTTTCCACTTGAAGCT